CCCCCCCCGCCTTTGACCTTCAACACTTAGTTCTGAAGTTCGCATTCAAGAAGGCATTTTCTCTGGTTTCTTTTTTCAATCGACTTGAATTTTGAACACGTATATTAGATTACAATTTTCAGCATAAAAATTATGGTTCCATAGGCAATTTCCTTTTTAATGACTGAATTTCTTTTTTTTCGACCAGAGAGATGCATCAATGTATTTTATATCCCCCCCCCTCCCATTACAGCCTTCCTGTATTACTTTCAATCTTTCTGAGAGTGTTCATTCCGAAGAATCACCCGTGAGTCTTGCCCCGCCAATCAATGCTCTGCTGTCAGAAGCTCCCACCACCCTCTCTCGAGCAGCAGCAAACTCCACAATTATCCTGGGTTACCCTCGCATTGTTATCGAAAGTGAGGCACACTCGCTGAGCCCCCCCGCTGAGATGACCAATGAGCTGGAACATTCGAGCCACTCGAATGATAGGATTGCAATTGCAAGAGAAAGGGTAAATCCAAGTTTGTCGACTCAACAGGAGAAGGAGGAAAGAATCTCGAAACTCCGTCAAATGCACCTGAGAGCACTCGAGTTTCGTAGATCATTCCGACCGGTTAGGAAACTTAAAAGACAAGTACGGGTAAGTGTGTGTTCGTGTGCGTGTGACTTGATAAATGAACAGGAGGGTGTGTTTTAGCAAACAAAATGCTTTAATCCCAAGTCATTTGTTATCCCTTTAAAATTATCCCCGTTAATTATCGTTTCAGAAAGCATCTTAATTCGACAGAACATCATTCATTTCAAAAATAGCTAAAATTCTACCCAATGAAGTAGACAAAAAAATGCTTTTCTCTAGTTTGCTAAGTACTGGGTTCTGTATTGTTGGGAGTATTTTTTGAAGGGATCCCTCGAATTTATTCTGGAATCCGGGGTATTCGTTCTTCTGAATTTGAGTCATGATTGCATTGATTACGGGTAATTAATCGGATCTGGAATAGCAATTCGGTCGTCCACCAATGGGAAACGAACCAAAATCGTGCTCATAATCATTTTTCGACTCCTCAAAGTTTGTTAATGCCATTCATTTATGTTCTATATTTTTTTTCTTATTAATCATTTTAATTACACATCTACCATCGTCAACATGACCTATCTTTAAACTTGTCATGTGTGACAAAGTAAAAAAATGTATTTTATATCGCGTTGTAGTGCTCCACTGAGCAGAACCAAAGGAGGTTCTCCTCTCCGAGTGCTTCACAAAGATTAAAAACTATTGTTCCCGAAGTGAGATCTCTCTCGACCACCGCTGCTCCAAATCCCGCTGTTTTAGTCCAAGTTTTATCAACTGGTGAAAAAGACAACAATTGCCAATGACTTGTTAATCCTGCATTTTGACAGAAGCACTGTGTACATGAATCATTTGTGTTGTGTTTTGAAACAGAAAAATTTACTCAATTTTTTGGCTTTTTTCACATTGTCTGACCTGGGCAGTATTCCGATAAGGCAAATAGTCAACTGGTTTCATTTTTTTCCGTTGAATTTATTATTTATTTCAAATGGCAGACGTTTTCATAGATATCATTAGCCATTTAGCTGACTTCGGGCTTCACAGAGGGAAGGTTCATCAAAGTAGCAGAAAGTCGAGGGGTGGGGAACAGAAGAGCGATTCACAGATGTAAAAGAGGCAGACAGACACAAAGTAGAGAAAAAGGTAAGGTGAGTACAGTAGAAGGGGTCGAATATGACATAGAGTGGGGTGAAGGTAGTTTGAAGTCAGAAGTCAAATGCCGGTTAATAGACTTTTTTGTCGTATGAATATACGTTGCCCAGGGTGCACCACATGGAGGTAAGTCTATCGCACACCCCTTTTCCGTTGAATTTGAAAGAGTGGACTACGTCATTAGGTGATAATTTCGATCACTTTTCAGAATAAAAGCGATTGATTTGTAGTGGTGGAACTACGAAAGCTGAATGAGCTAATCTCGATAGCGCGGTACGCGAAAGGTCGTTAAATTTCACTTACATAAATGTGAAGTTAAATGGTAAAATTTCTTAGGGACTAATAACAGTTGAAATATAAACGCCCAGTTCATTTTTGTTTCGTTTACATGAAAGATAAACTTTTTTCAAACGTAAATTCTAATTAGCGTCACTGGCATCTCAAAGT